TTATATATGTAGTGTGAATTTAGTCTGAGAACCGTTTTGAAGGTTACACTTTGTGGATACTGTGTTGAGAGAATTGATAAAACATTCTTGCAGTAACAAAATTATAGAGCTGGAATACAGATTAGGGTTTGCTAGGGGTTAGGGATGGTGGGGTCTGGGGTGGGTATGACTGTAAGGGGTAACAGGAGGGAGATCTTTGTGGTGCTCTTAACCTAAGGGTGTAGCCCTTTGGCATAACAGCTTTATATAGGTGTTTCCTTTTGATAGACTTTGAGAGTCTATCCTGAGCCTGTGTATGTAGCCATCAAAATGTAAGCCCAGTTTTCTGCAGTGGAACACATACTCTCAAGATAAAAGGTGGTTTCTGGTTTTGCTTATTCTACTTTTGTTTATGGCTTATGAGAATACTGTACTTTCTTGCCAGCTAAGCAGTTCATTGAAATAGATTTTTCTACTAACTTTTAAAAGTAACCTTTAAGAGTATCAAGGTATCTAGTCTGCCATACTGCTGGAAATCAGTGTCCCCATCTATCTACAATTTTGTTTCTTATAAAGTATGTTGCTATTTTGCACCTCAGCTTTCTTATATTTTTGTTATTATAATAGGCATTTTTCTTTATCTCCTTGGTCTGTCAGACTTATTGTGTAGGCCCGTCACAGTCTATGCCCTGTTATGTTTTCTAATCTCTTTTCTCCCTGTTCTTTCACTAGCTGTATTATGGTTTATTAAAGACATCGTGTATTGTAGTTATCATTCTTTTACTCATGTCATTCCATCCCACTTAAATGCTATCTCTTCTTTTGACTCCAACTGCTTCTTCTAGCACTGTTTGACATTTTGGGCTGAATAATTCATTTCTGTGGGGGCTCTCCTGTGCATTGTAGGATGTTAGCAGCATCCCTGTCCTCTGCCCATTAGATGCAACTAGTGACTTCCATTTGTAATAACCAGAAGTGTTTCCAGACATTGCCAAAGGTCCTTTGAAGGGGGTGATGCCTCCCAGAGTTGAGAACCACTGTCCTAGCCCTATTTGAATTTGGTCTCAGTTGAAGAGTCTTCCCTGATTATTTGTGCCTGTGGCGTTTAGCTTTCGGATTTTTTGGTAGTACATATTGTCCTGATTGTACACTTGCCTCTTTTTACATTTGGTTGTGAATTTCTTTCTCTCTCTCTCCCTTCCTCCCTGCCTTGTGTGTGTGTGTGTGTGTGTATATGTATGCATGTGTGTTTCTTTGTCTTATTTGACCAAGTTTTAGAGTGTAGGGAGCATATATTTTACTTTTTTATTTGCTGTTTTGATCCATTCAATACACATATTAGTAGTTTTAAATATATCAATTGCTTGCCTTTTTCCTGTTTTTCTATTTTTTATATGATAGCAATAGGGGCTTAGGAAATTGAATCACTCTAGAAAATGTGGAGAACTTTGAGGTGTTCCAAATTATGAGACTTACAGACAATAGAGCTAATACCAATGTAGCATTGGTTTGTATACCCAGTAATAGCTCTGGAAAAGTCAAGACAATGCAAGATAGTTGTAAAGATATAAGAAAGATGTAATTTCTGTTAGATGTGTATCCATTATATAAGTAACCAGAAAAATGTGCAATAGAGTAGAGAAAAATTGAGAAATATAGAAAGTGGAAGGATTTGTAGAAGCATGAAGTACGAATGATTAGTTCTACAGAGTGATGTGAACAAAGTAATCAGTATGTCAGGGTAAATTGTTAGGAATGATGGATGTAGCATCTGGCTAAGAGTGACTTGTATAAAGCTGACAAATGTGATATGTGAATGTTAGTAAGTTGAAAACAAGTTGGGCACAGAGAGGTTAGCTTCTTATTACCAACTAAAGAGAAACCTACATGTTTTGACCCAGTTGGGAAAGATACAGCTCAGTTATAGATTCCCCCCACTTTTTTTTTAATTACGAGCAAATTCTAAATAAAAATGTAAATTGAAGCTTGAATCTAATTACTTTTATAAGGTGCTTTTCCTTATCTAGGCCAAAATCTTCATGTAAAGTAATCATAAGTAGGGATTCTGGGTGGTTCAGTTGGTTAAGCATTTGCCTTCGACTCAGGTCAGGGTCCCAGGGCCCTAGGATCGAGTCCTGCGAGTCCTGTGTCGGGCTCCCTGCTCAGTGGGGAGCCTGCTTCTTCCTCTCCCTCTGCCCTCCACTTGTGCTCTCTCTCTCTCACTCTCTATCTCAAATAAATAAAATCTTAAAAAAGAAAGAAAAGTAATCATAAGTATAGTATGTGTTCATTGTAGAAAAATTAGAAAGTAATCAAAAGTATGGGGAAAGTGAAAGTTAGTTACAGTTCCCAAAGCCTAAACCACTATTATCATTTAGATTAGTTCCATTCTCTTGAATTTTATATGATTTCAGTCTGTCTCTGGATATAGATATATGATGTGCCTATGTGTATGTAAAAATATATACTGTGTATACATATATGTATGTGTTGGTATCTATATTTATATAAAATAGGGGTTATTTTAAATGAAATGTTTTATAGCCTGTTCTTCATTTAATATTATGAATACTTCTCCATATCAGTAAAATTCTAAAGTGTGATATTTAGTGACTACATAGTATTCTATTCTGAGATTATCCCTAAATTTATTTAAACATTTACTTAAACATTTAGGTTTTCTTTCATACATACACAAATCTGTGTACATGTACCAATAATTTCCAGTGAACCACCCTCATGAAAAATTTTGAGTGCATCTCCCATTTTCTTTGAAGAGTTGTAACCTCCACTTATAATTTGCCCTACAAAATTCATCTTACGTGTCTTCCTTAGTAAGAACAACCCCAGTATTAATAGCTGGGCATTATTACCAATGTTGGAGACTACATTTCCTATCTTCCCAGATGGTTAGGTGTGGCCAAAGGATAAAGCTATGGTTTATAAGCTGTAGGCTGAAATAACACAGGAGAGTTAGAAGGCAGCAAGGTGGGCCTTTTCCTCACCTTTCTTTTTCTGCTACCTGCAGCGTGCATGTATTAGCAAGAGTGCCCATAGTCTTGGAGTATGAGGTAACTTGGAGTAGAAACAGTATGTAGTAGAGCAGAAAGATGGAAAGAACTTAGGTCCTCAGTATTTGGAGCTGCCACATCAGCTTTTGATTGTCTGTTTCTGGACATTTACATGGGGAGAGTCCTCTCCCTTTTTTTTCCCTAAGTCTTTATATTATTATAACTTAAGAACATTTTTTGGCTTGGGAAGGATAGGACCTAATTCTATCTGATAAAGGATACCATTGTTTAATACTCTATGTAGTAATGTAATAGGTCAAATGTAAGGAAACATGCATTGTGTCATGGTAGATTTTGGATCTATGTTGCAAACAAAAATCTACTTTAAGACTGGAGACAGATTAATTGGTATTGAAAGGAAGGTGCTTAAAATGATACATAATTTTTGGATGTTTTTGTTAGCTATATTGCTGAATTTTGTTCTCAAGTGCTTTTAATAATTATCACAAATATTGTTTCAGAAAACACTTGGTAGCTTTAGGCAAAAGCAAACAAACAAAATCCCCCCAAAACACCAAAACAGAAACAACCCACAAAACCGACCCATAAACCATTGAGGATTGTATATTGTATTTGAATAATCCCTTCAAGCCCTATGAATTTTTAATATTAAATATCTTGGCTAGTCACTTTGACAAAGCTCAAAAATGTGACTTTTAATGTTCTCTTACTAACTTTATTGGAAGAATTTTGAAAAAACGAAAAAATTTTTTGTTACTGTAGACTTTTTTTTAGTATTGATTCTAAGAAAGTTGTTCATGGCTTTAGTGAAATGAGTGAAGGATACACATTTAAAAAATAAACTTTTTTTTGAGCAGTGTTAGGTTTACAGAAAAATTGAGCAGAAAGCACAGAGTTCCCACATACCCCTTTCAAGAATATACATTTTTTTTCCAGGGTATTCCACTGCATATAATATTACACACATTACAGAAGACTTTACATCTCTGAACCAAATTTGTACTATTTTATAAGAGGAAAACTGTACACTACTAAAAATCATTTTATTCTAACCTTAGGTTTCCCCATCCTCAGCACTATTAACATTTTAGGACAGATAAGTCTTTGTGGGGGTCTTGTCTATGCATTATAGGTGTTTAGCAGCATCCCTGAGCTCTACCCACTAGATGCCAATAATATTCCCCAGTTATGACAACCAAAAATGTATGCAAACATTGCCAGATGTCCCTTGGGATGCAAATTGTTTCCCAGTTGAGAACCATTGCTCTAACCAATTTATGATGTTTTAGGATTTGCTATATTTTTTAGGTTGAGTTCAGATTTAAGGGGTCTGTAGTTTGAGGAACCTTTACACAGAAGTTGTGTAGATAAAGTTAGAATCTTCCCTTACACTTGGGGACCGTAGACAGTCTTCTCTTCAAATGTACTATATTGTTTGAATTTATCTGTAATGCGTAAAAAAACCCACTTTAGAGTTCTTATTTCTGTGTGAAAGGCTATCATAGTTTGGGATCTACTATTTATGGATTTCAGGAGTACTATACTGTGGGTAGATACAAACTTTAAATGTGCAATGAAGACTGATTGATGAGGTCAATTGTGTTTTGATTCTTTGTGGTGCTCTAATTAGATTGTCATTATATTCAAATTGTTACAAGTTAAGTGATCTCATGTATTCTATCAAGGACTTTGAGCTTCTCAAATTGAGGATAGCATTAGATGTCAGCCAATCACTTTGTCCTTCAAAGTTTTTGCCTTTATATCTGAAATCCTGCCAATTGTAACAGCTTGTGTGTCAGTTCCAATAGAGGAAGCTAGCCTCTGTTAGCTTGTACTTAGTCCACTAAAGACTTCTAAAAACTTTATGTAGTTTACAACTAATAATGTCCACTTCCCACTGCTACTTTGTACAATTACAAAACCTTGTTCACCTGCGATGAAATCTCATCTGTAATAATTAAGGTTATTCTTATTGTTCTATCTCTGCAGAAAATTTCCAAAGACTTGGTGAAGATAGGAAAACTATCAGAAAGGCAGTGGCACAATTATCCTGTAAGTATTGCTTTGAAAAAGAAGTGTAAGTTAAGAATATTTTAAGTATCCAGTTGTTTGGGGGAAAATAAGTTAGGCAAAGGTATTATATGTAAAATACAGAGCAGGATATATTATAATCATATTAATAATTTATACGAACTAATCCAGTGCAGTCCTTTAAAAATTGAAAATGTGTTATTATGTATTGAGATGAGGATTTTACCAATAGCATTGAAAAATATTTCTAATTCTAACAAGGATTGATCTAGTTTATGTACATTTGCTTATTTAAAACTATCAGAATCCAGAAAATCATTGTAGTTTTGTAGGCTTGTGATTTGTTTGGGTGACTTATTGTTTAGGTTATTTTGCAGAATTATTTATTTGCTGATTTATTTATGTATTTCATTATTTATTTATTTGATTATTTAGTAAATTATTTATCTGATGAATTATTAATACATCTTCATGACATGCTTTAAATTATTTATAACTTAATTTTGAGTTTATTGCTTTTAGAGCCTGCATTGTTACTGACTAGTTTTGATTTTTTTCTTTGCGGTTCTTTAAAATTAAAGTATTAGCTCTAAGGCAAAAGTGTATTCATTGCAGTGCCCATGGATTTTTTTTTCTTTTTTTTTTCCTCAGTAATTTGTGGTAGAGATGAAATTTCAGTTATGCTTTGTTTAGTTCTAAATTTACCTGTTTAGGGTTACTGATGATAGAATGTTTATGTATTATGTGCATACTCATTGTAGAGTCACTTATGAATTAATGATATAGCCTATAGTATGTAAACTGAGATTGAACATGTAAACCTCAGTCCACATTATACTTTGTTTCTCTAAAGGGCAGGTCTGCATTTCTTACTTGCTTTAGAATAACTAACAGAGTCTTGTTATTTTATTTTAGAGGCAAATCTATTTTACTATTGGGATATATATAGGAAAGTTCAGAGAAATGAAGTCCAACTTAGATTTGGATCCCTGAGATATAAATTTGATGTAGCCTTTATTTTTTAAAATTCTCATTATATGTGTATTTGGCAAATAGCATGATGCTGATATAAATTTTTATACCAGCCATAGTGACATATTTAATATCATCATATCCCTTATGGAAAGTTTTATACAACTTTATTTTAATGAACTAAAATGGACAAGGGCTTTTATAAATGAAAGCTATAATTTCTCTGACTTTAGCTAATAATTCTCTTATGTAATGTTTCTATTTTTAACCAAATAAGGTATTTTTTCTTTCATCTGATTCTATTTCATAAGATAGTGCAGTTATTAGTGCTCTGTCATTGAATAGGTTTAATGAATAGGTTAAGTAGTTGGGTAAAAGAATGTCATATGCACAACTTAGTCTTCTGTGTTTGCTTGCAGTGAATTACTGTGTACTTTACAGTTTTAACATTTCAGAGAGAGACAGCATTGTACAATTCAAGTTAGGATGCTGTTTCTTAATTTGATTTGATTTGATTTAATTTTTTTCTTTTTGAGAGAGAGAGCGTGAGCAAGGGGCGGGATGTAGTAAGAGGAGCAGAGGGAAAAGGAGAGAGAATCTTAAGCAGGCTCCACACCCAGAGCGGAGCCTGATGCGAAGCTCGATTTCACAACCCTCAGATCATGACCTGAGCTGAAATCAAGAGTCAGACGCTTAACTGACTGAGCCAAAAGGCACCCCAGGATGCTGTTGAAATATGGTGAAAATGGCCTCTGTAGACAGGTTTTACTATGGAATGTAAATTATGCATATATATATATATATATATATATATATATATACCCACATTTCTTATTTTGAAATATTGAATATATGAATGTTTAATTGGAATATTGCTTTAGCGTCTTCATATGTTTGCCTTAAAGGAAGTGGTTTCATTTGATTTATATACATGGATTTAAAAATGTGTGTATTATACATATCTGTGACTTCTGTTTTGGAGATGAACAACCACAAATACTGTCAGATATGGAATTTTATTTCAAAATGTGCTTCAGTATGCCAATGTGGACTTCTTTTGAAGAAAAAAGCTGCCTTCTCCAATGTTGAATAAGATCTTACTATGTTAGTTGTCACAATAATATGCCCAGCCACACTATTAATATGTATTTGTGGAGTATTAGCTGTGTTATCCAAGTGGTCTTCATTGGAAGACAAACATATGTGCATGCACACACATACACATATGCACACATATGGGAAATTTTCTCCTGACATCAAAACAATTTTTTAGGACTTGTTTTTGGAAGGAGACATCAGTGGAAATTTTCATAATAATAGCTAGCATTTATTAAGCACTTATTATGTGCAGGTACAGTGCTTATATGTTTTATATGGATTATTTTTCTTCACAGTGAGATAAATACAGTTACTGTCTTCATTTTATGAATGAGGAAACAGAAACTTGGAGATGTTAAGTAACTTGCTCATTACCACACACATGGCAGTAAGTGAAGCCGCTGGGATTAGGACTCATTTTGTCTGACTCTCAAGGGTTTTTCTTTTCTTTTCTTTTTTTTTTTTTTTAAAGATTTTAGTTATTTATTTGAGAGAGAGAGAATGAGAGAGCACATGAGAAGGGGGGAGGGTCAGAGGGAGAAGCAGGCTCCCCGCCGAGCAGGGAGCCCGATGCGGGACTCGATCCCGGGACTCCAGGATCATGACCTGAGCCGAAGGCAGTCGCTTAACCAACTGAGCCACCCAGGCACCCCTCTCAAGGGTTTTTCTTAGCCCATTACAGTTTTGCATGTGTAGTTGGTATTAACCAGTTTTGGGTGGTGTTTGGTTTTTTTTTTTTTTTTTTTTCATTTTTGTTTTTGAGAATGTAGTTCTTTATTTCTGATAGGTTTAACTTGCTAAGTGTATTCACTTTGTGTTATACTTGGTCATCTTTTCTAAACAGTAGGCAGTACTTGAGCTTCTTGAATTTTCTGACTTGATTCTTCTTGTAATCCCATATAGTGGATCAGAATTACATAAAAAGAATTTGTGCCTCAGGGAGATTATATGGTTTGCCTGGTGGATGTCCAACATTCAGGTCTTTGGACTCCTAAGCCCAAGGCCATTTCCAGGGCTCTGTTAGGTCAAGTCTGATTTCCTTATAAAAATAATGGTATTATCAGGGTTAGACACATATTGTTAAAAGAATGATTAAGAGTCTGATGCCTGAGCTTTTATAGAAATGGCCACAAAGGTACTATTAAATTAACTCTAAATATAGTGTTTAATGTACAGTTAAGTATTTTAACATGTGTGTAAAAAAGATGAGAAAATAGCCAATTGTAATTTTAAACACTTAAATGTAATTATTTAAAAGATTTTGTAGAGCCTCCAGGAGTAAGGAAAAATGTTGTGAATTTGGTGTGAGGCTAAGAGAATGGGATCTTTATATTCTGTTTGCTACCTGAAGACAAAGATAAGCCTTCATCATCCTGGGTCTGAAGTACACAAACATAAGAAAACAGATGAGCTAGGGTTAGCAGAAGAGTTTGGGTGATGTTGGTGTGAGTGCCATAGGTAGCTGCATTTGTATGAACAACAAGGTATTGTGTGAATCAGAGTTTTTAAGTTAGAGTTTCCAAATAAATAATTAATGTTACATCATAAAATCCTCAAAATCTGTGATTTAGGTAATATGAAATACTGTAATAGCTAGGATGACCATATAATTTATCTTCCAATTCAGGACACACTATTACTAGTGTGATAGCAATATCTCACCTGTCTATGAGTAATTCCTAATACCCTTATATAACATATATTTAAGAGGAATCTTAATTCATGTACAATATCTTTAAAAATATTTGATTTTGTGATAAAACTGACTTCTTTTGCCAGTATTTGTATATTTTTGTTAGGCAACCAAGGCAGTTTGTGGCTATGACTTTTATCAAGTGTGACTGATGTTTCACAGCTTTTGGAGCCTATTTTCAAGGTGAAAGTAAAGAGGTATTACAATTGGGAACAGAAAGATGGGGCTGGCAAAGTTGCTTATGGTATAGTAGAAAGTTCTAAAATTTCTCTTCATATCATACGTTGTAGTATTTTCTGTGCTCATTTTTGCCTTCTAAATCTTTTAATTGGTGGCATATTTAACGTTGTACTGAAAACTAATCCTATTTGTTCTACCTTCCAAATATAAATTTTATGTTGGATGATCCAGTGTTTTCCCCCATCCCCCCCAAAAATCCATGTTATATATCATGTATGTATCGATATGTTGGCAGTTTTGCCAAAATATTTTTAAAAACAAGTGTTTTTCCTTGGTGAAATTTTGTATGGGAAAACAGGAATCTCTAGAAAAGGTTTTTTTTAGTTTTCTTTTTAATTCCCTCTTGACAGGTATTTATCTAAAATGACATATTACATTATTAACATCATAATTAGATTATTAAGGTTCCAGTTTATTTGCCTCTAGAGCATTAGATGATTTGTTAAGTTGAACCAAGTAACCACACTGACATATTTGTGTTTGATTGTACAGTAAAAAGAAAAAATTCTTCTGTAATAATTCTTACTCATTCATACGTATAATATCAGAACTCTTTTTGTTCAGAAAGGCCTGTTATGCTTGGTAACAAAGGAAGAGCGTCCTTATATTCTACCTTGAGTTTGTCACAGTATAAAGTACTTCATAAAATACTATTATGGTTGTAAGAGTAGTAACATTACTTATATGTTGGCTCTGAGAGTAGCTCCTTTATAATTATGACAAGTGAAAGTACAGCCAAAGGTCATGTTAAACACAAAATTTCTTTCACACCTCTTCTGTTTTGTGGATAGCATGTGAAGTACTGTGGGTCCCTGCACTGATATTTTAAGAGAACAACCCAAGGTTGTTCCTGTGGAAGTGTTTCAAATACCTTTCTCCCTAATCTCCTGTGCGGTTGCTAAATTTGGCATGAATGTATATTTGAATCCTGGACTAATTAAATAGAACCTTATTAAATTTAGAGTTTGCAAAATAAAAAATGGGACTCATACAGTAAGGATTTCTTGGGGCACTAAAT